ATTGTGTTTACTAGTAATTGTGCTTCCTGGATAATCTTGTATGTTTTAAGGTACAAATCTGAAATTCCTTGCTTGCTCCACCATATTATTTTTGTCGTTTGTTTTTTGTTCACTGTTTTCAGTGTTTGTGGTTGCTTTTAGTGAGGGGGAGTTTTGGTTCATCTTGATCTGTTTGGTAAGGGAGATTGGCTATATGTTTTGCATGTTGCTATGCACTGTTTGCCCTCCTTGTATGTTCCTGATATTTATATCATCATATCATTGCTTTTGTGGTTTATGATCTTGCTTTTGTTGTTTGAGAGTTGCTTTTCATGAGTCTTAGTTTTCATCTATTCATGTTTTCCATCTCATGTTTCAAGATAATCGTGTCATATGTCTATTGTTTTTTCATATACTCTTGTGGGACTAATAGTTGCATTGGAGATTGTGGCACTAATAACTATTTTGAAGATCAAGGCCTTGAGAAAGAAGTTGGCTTTTGTTGGCTGTAATGTGTTGGGGTGTTTAGGATTTTATTTATTAGGTGTGTTTTGTCACGGCATTGCCAAAGAGGGAGATTGTTAGGTTTTATTTTTGGCAACCCCATTTAACAAAACTCCTTTCAGTTGCATTTGTTTTTGCACTTTTATTTCAGTAAGGCTATGTGTTTATTAGATGCGAATCCAACCCGAATTGTGCCGTTCAGAGAAGTTTGTGATGTTAATGCTTTCAAAATTGCCACTTCGCTGATTATGACGAGGGTCGAGCTGCCCGGTTAGCTCGCGGCCAAAGCAAAATGCAAAAATGCATTCAATTTTGGTCTCCCCGCTCGAGCGGGGAAAGGGACGCTCGAGCGGGGTTTACATGCTCACAACATCTCTGCTATGCCTGAAAAACTGACGCTCGAGCATGAAGCCTATATGAATTGCGGAATATGAAGTCTCCGCTCGAGCGGGAAGTCCCATGCTCGAGCGGACCGCGCGAACATAGTTTCCGAATTTCGATAAGGATTTGGTTTTCTGAAGAATCTAGGATTACTTTTGGTTTTCTATAAATGCTTGGTTTTCTTCCAAAGCTAAGTGTACTTCTCCAGATCTTCTTTTTGGGTTCTAAGGTTTATATCTGGGGATATTTTGCTAGTTTTCTTTGATGTTTTATTGAGTATTCAACTCATGGTTTAAAGAGAGTACATCAAAGGTTTTGTTTGTTCTACAAAAGAGAGAGTTGTTCTTCAGTGGATTCTGAAGAATTTGAGCCTGAAGCTTTGGTGGATTCCAGGGTGGCTCGTTGTAAAGACAATTCCGAGGTGAAGATGGGTTGGAAGAGGCACATAGAGGTTGGTTCAATTAGGCATGGATTCGCTAGGTAATTGAGAGTATACCTGTGTAATTCCTTTAAATCATCTTAGTGGATTGTTTTGTGGCTGTTGCCCGTGGTTTTTTTATCACAGTTGGTGGTGTCCAATTGTGGTTTTTCCACGTAAAATCGTTGTGTCTCTGTGTCATGATTGCTTGATTGGGATTGTTATGTTTTGCTTAAAATTGATACATAATCACAAATCAACATCTAGGAGGTTTATAGATTTTTCAACATTATTCAACTTTACCCATTTTTAATTCACCAAGTCAAAACATTAAATTAGACTTTTTCTTCTTTCAAGATAAACATGCTAGATTACTCCCCAATTAACCCAAACAACAATCAATTTAACAATCTCATTCCCAAATGACAAACCCTAGATCCCCTTTCATGAATTTCAAAGAAATCCATAATGGATATGATTTTTATGCAATAAAATCTACCACATATCTATCTATAGATGAGGTATTGTAAAGGAGCAAAGAAATCCCTACCTCAAGATTCGAAGCTCAAGATTTGAAGCTAAGGATGAAGGCCCAACTTGAAACTCTAATGAAATCGAAAAACAATAAATAGAAGTCTTGATCTATGCTTGCTCTTTAACATTCTTGAAAGATTTGGGATGAATCTTGGGTAAAAAGAAGAGAAATCAAGAGTGTGGAAGGTTGGGGTTTCGGGTTTGGAGGATGGGAGGAGAAGAGAGGGAGAAAAAATAGAGTTTTAGGGCCAAAAAATCACTTTATAATGTCTGTTAGCGATATGGTCGCTTGAGCGAAGGAAGCTTGGCTTCAGGGTACAAAATAAGCTCCCAGAATTTCTAAAAATTGCACAATTCGCTCGAGCAAAGAAAAGCTCGCTCGAGCGAGCATGCTTCCAGCATTGAAACGCAAAATTCAAACAAGTATAACTCTCTCGTCTGGACTCTGTTTAGGGTCTTTCTTGTGTCCAAATTGAAGCTCCGGAAATAAGTTTTCCAATGGTTCTAGCCTCACATCAAGATTCAAAGTATGGAGAGAGAACATGATGAAAGAGTGAAAACTACTCAATAACAATTATTCAAATTTGAAGTTTCTGATTCAATCTCCCCCAACTACTATGGTAACACCTCAACCAAGGCTTAAATATCTACTATGAAGGTTCTCAATCAAGATAATCAAAGAGTCAAATTATAGTTTCATTATAACAGAAAGCACAGAGTGCTACAGTTTTAGAGAGAGAGAGAGAAGAACTCACAGGTTGAAAGGAAAAAGGAGAGGGAAAATAATGAGAAAAAGTGGTTTGGGCCTATTTATAGTAGTAACAAATAGCCCTAAGGTCAAATAAAATAATAGCCCCCAAAACCCCCAAAGGTAGGGCCTATTCGAACCTCAAAAATTTTGAAAAAAAAACACGCAGGGATTGACTCTTCGGGCATGGGAGTCGACCCTTTAGGCAGAAAAGACAATTTGACACAAGCAAGGGGGTCGACCCTTAGATAGGAGGGAGGTCGACCCTATTTTCCAGCAACTAACACACAGATTCTGCAACATAAGAGGGTCGACCCTCCCCTGTCTGGTGTCTACTCTATATTTCAGCAACATTTCCAGAAACTTCACCAGCAGGTAAGGGTAGACCCTTAGGAAGGCTGGTGTTGACCCTAGAATAGAATTTCTAAGCCTTCAAGGAACTTTTGACAAGAACAAGTGCGAACAACCAAACCCAACAAGTTTAAATCGGATTATACTCCTCCAAAACCAACATACACAACACCCAAGATTTCCAAAATAAAAATAAAGGATTCGAATACACTTTCCCCAAAGCTTTGAAGGATACAGGTGCTACTAATATTTAATCAGATTAATCTTTAATTTATTTCAAATCCAACAAATTTAATCAATATATTTTGATAAAATCGCTAAAATCACGGTTAAACCAATGAATCAATCAAATCAAAAATGATTTAGTCTAATCGTCTAGGCAATGTTTTGAAAACCGGACTGGTGAGCAAATCGGGAAAAGGACCAGGTGGACTGGTCACTGGTTCAACCGTCGAATCCAAGCGATCGAACTGTGACATCAAAATTAATATTATATAATTAAAAAATATAATTATAAATTATAAATAAATAAAATATATATAAATAATCAAATAAAAATAAAAATTGTTGCATAATATTTATTAATAATATTTAATAAAGTCATAATTGATAAAAAAAAAAGTCACTTATTTTAAAGAAGTAATACTGCTGTAAGAACTACTCTGATGAATAGAAATGGTTGGTTTCTGTTATATCAATGCATGTCTAAAGTGATGGGTTTTATGTATTATTTTGAGGGTGTTACATGAAATCTTCAACTCTCCCTCTAGTTAATATGATTTAAATAATTTGATTGAATCCTACATAGAATTTTGTGGATTCTCTTTGAAATTTTTTTTCCCTATAAATACCAATTGACTTTCATTATCTCTCCAACCATCCAATGAGACTCCTCCTCATGAAAGTAGACTCTAGAAGTAAAAGTTTTTAGTTAAAATTTTGAAATATATATATATATATATATATAAGAAAGAAAAGAAAAGAAGTAGAATAAAAAAAATAGAAATTTTCCAATCGTTAGATCGTTCCAAAACTGGTATCGGGTCATCGGTTTTCCCGGTTGAATCGGCGGTTCTACCGGTTTAGATAATCTAGGCCAGTTTTCAGCCTAGTTTAGGTTTCGGGATTCTTCCGGACCGGAACTAGGCTCGGGTCTCGTTTCTACCGGTCTGACCGGTTGGTCCGGTCCGAGTTTTAAAACACTGCGTCTAGGTTAAAATTAATTCATTAAAATTTTTAAAAATTGAAACATGCACAACACTACAATATTAAATGGGATAAGAATATAATATTCACTTTATATGAGTAAAACAACTCATTTTTTTCCTCCTTTTCCCGATGTGGGATTATCAAATAAAAGCTACCCAATAGAGATTTTCTTAATTGTTTGAAATTAAGAAAATCAAGAAAATTAATTTGAGATTATTGAAACTCTTACAAGACTTCTCATTAAAAACTCCAATTTTTTTTATATAATATATGGATAGATGGATAGATAGATTATATAGATGCACAAGCGAATCCAAAAGGGGCTCCTGCACGATTATCCAACAAGATCAAATTAGTCTTTTAATTTGTGAAAAAATGATCATTCCTAGTATTATAGGAAAAAAAAGGTTGAGATTTTAAAGAAAAAGCAAGCGACCCAATTAAATTAAAATGAATTGGAATTGGAACCCCTTTCCAACCCTATTTTGCAGATTGACCTATTCCATCATCCCACCACACAATAATCACAATGGAACTGTTTTCTCTCTCTAGGGAGCTATGGTTTTTCCTCCAGGTGGGGGCACTGCTCATGTTTTGCTTCAATACATGTTGGTCATTCACTGTTTCGGTTGTTCACTGTCCTTGTTTTCCTTGCTTTCTTCCTGCTGGTCACAATCTTTGTTTCTTGGTTCTCTTTAAGCCTTTCTCAGTGGGCTTTCAGTCAACGTTTTTGTTTTTTTCCTTTTATATCTGAGGTTCATCTTTTGGCCTAATCCTGTGGCTGTTCCCCTTTGGGTAAACAAACGTAGTCTACCCAGCTGTGGTGGGCAGAGTGGTCCCCAAGGGTAGTGAGGTCATCTACAGACGTGAGACCAGATGACGACCTCGTACTTACGGGAGGGTGGCCCGACTGATAGCAGTGGAGCTGAAGTTGGTAGTGAATATTCAGAGGAAAGGCAGAATTTGCAGCCTCATCAAGTGTTTCATCCTCCCTCGCAACATCACTTCCGGCGTGGTTTGAGTATGGAATTGGCCGATTCCACGTGGCAACTTGAACAATATGAGTTGGATCGCTGTTTGATTGGTTATGTTGCCGATGTTCGTCGTTTTGGCTCCTATCTTATGCAAATGCATGTCAATGAACTATGGAATTTGGAGGGGGCCGTCCATGTTTATGGTCGTAGTAAAAATCATTATGTTTTTCTGTTTGAACATCTCAGCGACATGCATCGTATTGCTGAAAATGGTCCATACGCTCTCCAAGGGGCTCTCATTATTGTTGATTATTGGAAGCCAGATTTAATTCTAGATCGGTTGATTTTTGACAAAATGATGGTTTGGGTTCAACTCCATGGGTTACCGTTAGAATGTTTCACGGAAGAAGCTGGGTTCAGTCTCGAACGGGCGGTTGGCGACGTGGTTAAAGAAGATATGGACTCTCTAATGCCTCGCAATATTCGCTTTCTTCGTATCCGTGTATGGGTTTTTCTTGACAAGCCTTTGCGTAGTGGTTTCTTCCTCAAGCTTCATGATGGGCACCAACATTGGGTCCGTTGTTGTTATGAAAGGGTGTGCAAGGTCTGTCGGAATTGTGGTCGCATAGGCCATACGATTACAACATGTTCCCTATCGTTTGCAGAGGCTCAACGGTTTCTCGATGACCATTTCTAGGATATGGGTAGGCAACTTCATTCCCCGGTCATGACTCAAGAACCGCACCCGATGTACTCTGCTAGTATTCGTGCTAATGCCCATCGGTCGGACTATCGCACTACGTGTATTTTTCAAACTGCTTCTAGTTCCCGTATGGAGATTCCTGAAGAAGCAGGACCATCCACTATTAACCAGACGGTTACTTCGAATGATGATTTTGCTGCCATGTGGGAGCAAGATTGGGATGATGGGTTACGCCAAGGCACGCCTGAGGGTAGCGAACCAATGGTGCCAGCACCCACGAGCAATGGAGTTCTCCAACCCATACCTCCTGCAGAATTCCGTTCGGTCGATTCCGATGTTCTTTTGGGGTTGGGTCAAATTCCGGTGGATTCGGAAGGTGAGTTAGAGGTAATGTGGAATCAATGGGAGGGTCATCTCTCATCAATGGGGATCAGACTAAGACAGTTGGTGTTAGCCGAAGCCGGCGAGTTGACAACTTCGCTGCATCAACCACTCTCTCAGGGTGATAGTTCTATTAATGGCTTTGACAATATCACCATCGCTGACTCCGCAGACAAGGTCCTTCGAGCGCTTCAAAGTACTGGGCCTGGCCCACGATTGAATATCCCTATGGGTGAGGCCCCAATGCTCACTCGGGCTTTCTTGCTCCCCAGCCCAAGCACGGTACCACAAATGGGCTCAGCCACCTTTGAAATTGGGCAACCCAGCTCTGTTATAAACTTGAACTCTCACGATCCACCTCATCTTTCTGGGTCTACTACTTTCACTCCCCCTGTTTCAAGTGCTGGTGGGCTTCCATTACGAAAAGGGATGCGAGAAGTTGACTCGGGCTATGAACTATTATATGACACAGAGGCTTTGGCTGTGATAGATGAGTTACGTGACCTAGGAGAGGGTTGTGCTGCTGAGTTGGCCGTGCATCGGAATGGGATTGTTTCTGATTCACAATGCTATCCTCACAGGTTGGGTTATTTTTTACGCAATCAGTTTAGTAGATTGAAGCGAGCTCGGCCTGCTCTGCCGACTCCAGTGCATGGCCATGCACCTCCGTGGGCAATCCGAGATATGTCCACCAGGTTTTCATCTCTCCATCGGCGTCGGAAGTTACGGTCTAGACAGCGCAAACTCCTAGCAGCTACGGGCCCATCAAGCTCACGTCGGGGGCAGAGTTCTCGACAGAGTAGAAGATCTCCAGCTCCCAATGTTCTATCTGCTTCAACCCGATTGTCGTCGAAATCGGGCTACGATACTGGAGCCAGCTCCTCGGACAGCCACGGGTCTTGTTATGTGAGTCCCCAGTCCAGAGTCCATCCGGACTTCGATCGAGTCCAACAACAAACACATCGTTTTATGGCCTTAGATTTGGATTGAACTCGGGTCTCTAATCAGTGGGTTTCGCAGGAGGTTGTCCCTTAACAACCTCCTTGTTCGCCATGAAACTTTTCAGCTGGAACTGCAGGGGCCTCGGTCATCCCCTGACAGTTCAAGCAGCTCGCAATTTGACCCAGCAGTACAAGCCAGATATTTGCTTTAAAATGGAAACCAAACGCTCGGTTCAACATGTTAATCAAATTGGGTATTCTTTGGGTTTCAAGTATAATTGTGGAGTGGATAGCTCGGGCAGATTCGGGGGTTTATGGGTTGGGTGGCGGGATGGTTCTCTAGTTGACATTTGTGAGCGGGATCCAAATTTTATTTTGTTACAAGTTCTTGACTCAGTGCATGGAAAATGGTTTATTATTTTCATGTATGGCTCGCCTTTGGTTCTTAATAGGGGCCATGTGTGGAGTCTCATAGAAGCTCGTATTTATCACCTTCAAGAGCCTTTTGTTATCATGGGAGACCTCAATCAAGTCCGTGGGTGGTCAGAAAAAATAAGCTCTCATCGCCGCACTATTCCCGGAGCTTCGGCCTTTAATGACTTAATCTTTCACAATCGTTTGGTCGATCTCCCCTCTCAAGGGGTGTGGTATACTTGGTGCAATAACCGACGGCAATCCGATATGGTTTATGAGCGTCTCGATCGGGTTTTGGCTTCCTCCAGTTGGGTAACAAAATTCACTTCTTTTTCGTTGGTGACTTTGCCTATTCAAAGATCCGATCATAGTCCGTTGCTTCTTGATTCTAGTCGAATGGAACTCCGTGGAAAAAAATGGGACAGATTTGAGGCCGTATGGTTGACAGATCCTACAACTCAGGAAATTTTACACAAAGTTTGGAAGATGCCCATTCATGGTGCCGACTCATGTCTTCGTCATCAAACTTTCCTCTTTCAACATCTCAAAAACTGGAATGCGTTGTCTTTCTGAAGTATGAAAGGTCAAATTGAAGACATCCAAGCTCACTTACAGCAAGTTCAAAGATCGTTACAATCTTCGGGCTCTCATTCCTCTGAGATGGATTTGCGACTTCAACTGGATTTTTTGTTACAAAAGCAGGAATTATATTGGGCTCAACGGTCTAAACAACAATGGCTGCATTTGGGAGACCGCAATACAAATTTGTTTCATCAAATGGCCTACTGGAGGCGGAGTCAAAACCGTATCTCGTGTATTCAGGACAAAGATGGGACTGTGCTGACTCATCCGCAGGACATTCAACGGGCTTTTGTGGAGCATTTCCAGCAACTCTTTTCACCTTTACCGGACTCCAACAACTTGCACATGGACTCTCTGGACTCAGGTTCTTTTCCTTCCCACTTCAATTTAATTGGTGTCATGAATAGTTATTTATCTCTCGACAACTCCACCTTTTTGGACCAACCTTTTTCTTTGGAGGAAATTAGATCTGTTGTATTTCAAATGGGGAAATTTAAGGCCCCGGGGCCGGATGGATATATAGCAGGATTCTATCAAACATATTGGGCGACGGTGGGACAATCGGTTTCTGAAGCGGTGTTGGGGTTTCTTAATTCAGGCAACTTATTTACTCCAATCAACCAAACCTTCATTTGCCTTATTCCTAAGACGAAGAGTCCTCTTACGGTGAATGATTATCGGCCCATTAGTTTGTGCAATGTGATGTATAAAATCGGCGCTAAAGTTCTTGCTAATCGCCTTAGCTCGATGCTTCCGGACTTAATTTCAGACAATCAATGTGCTTTTTTGAAGGGTCGCCTTATTTCGGATAATGTCTTGCTGGCCCATGAAGTTCTTGACTATATCAAAAAATATAAGCGGGGGCGTTTATCTTGTTTTGGGTTAAAGTTGGATATGAATAAAGCTTATGACCGCGTTAGTTGGGATTTTCTTCAGGTCGTCATGGCTAAATTGGGATTCTCACCTAAATGGATACAATTAATTTCCCACTGCGTCTCTACTGTCCAATTTGCCATTCTCATTAATGGAGTTCCTTCATTGTTTTTTCAACCAAAGGCGGGGTTACGTCAAGGAGATCCCCTTTCACCGTATTTATTCTTGTTAGTCATGCAAGTATTGTCGGAAGGCTTTGCTCATTTGGCGTCTCTTAATGTCTGTCGAGGAATTGCCATTAGCCGGAAATCCCCCCCCCATTTCTCACTTGCTCTTCGCTGATGATTGTTTTATTTTTCAACAGTATAACCCAGCAGATATCTGGTGCCTTCACTGGTTTCTAAATGCCTTCTGCTGCTTTTCTGGGCTTCGCATAAATTTTCATAAATCGAAACTTTTCGTAAGTTCAAATTTTTTACTTTCAGCCCAGGACTGGCTCGTCTCTCTTTTTGGTGTTAAAGTTGTACCATAACCCGGGATCTATTTGGGCGCTTACTTGGGGTTCTCAGGGCGTTCTAAGTCTGAGATCTTTAATTCTCTTTTGAGCAGAGTCCAATCCAAGCTTCAAGGTTGGAAATGTGAATTTTTGAATTTTGCAGGTAAGGGAATTTTGGTAAAACGCGTGCTTCACTCCATTCCTGTGTATCTCATGTCTGTTTTTCGCATGCCCGACTGTTTCCAACATAAGCTTACAGCTATAATCCGCCAGTTTCTTTGGGCTTCACCCAAGGGTCTGGGTTTACCATGGAAAAAATGGACAGCTTTATGCCTTCCAAAAATTTGGGGTGGTCTCGGATTTCAAAATCTTACTTGCTTCAATCAAGCTTTACTAGCAAAGCAAGCATGGCGGCTCTTGTCCTCACACAATTTATTGTTTTCAAAAGTTCTACTCGGCAAATATTGTCAACAAAGTTCTTTCCTTGTGGCTCAGCCTTCTTCATCATCATCTTGGGGATGGCGGAGTATATTATGGGGACGTACATTGTTACTGTCGGGGCTTCAATGGGTCGTGGGTAATGGTCGGAGTATCAACCTGTTTGAAGATCAGTGGATTCCGATTGTCTCCAATCCTTGTAGAGGAAGAGGGTTGACTGATCTTTGTCCTGCAATGCGAGTAGAACATTTCATTGATCCCTCATCTTTTTCTTGGAGACTGGATTTGTTAAATGTGTTTTTTCCTGCCCATGTTATCCCTCACATCTTATCCATTCACATTCCACATGAGGCGCTTGAGGATAAACTTGTTTGGAGCCCTTTGAAACACGACCAATATTCGGTTAAATCAGGTTACAAGCAGGCCTTAATGCGACAGTTCCCGAACTATTATAGGCCTGATCCGGATTGGTCACTCTAGAAAAAATTATGGCAGTTAAAGATCCCTCCCAAATGGACCTTGTTTTTGTGGAAATGTCTACACAATATACTCCCGGTTAAGCACGAACTCAAGAAACGAGGGCTCAATGTTGAACCTCTCTGCTCCCGTTACGCCGAATCTGAGGAAACTATTGAACATCTATTTTTTGACTGTCCCTTTTCTCACCGGGTTTGGCGTGGGTCTGTATTGGGATTAGATTTTGGAGTGGCAATCCCTTTATCCTTCTCCTCCTGGTTCAAGAATTGGGTGGAACAAATTACAAATGTTGAGATTTTAGTTCATTCCATTGCCTTATTATGGGCCATCTGGTTGCAGCATAATTCGGTTGAATTTCAGTCTGAAGTTGTGTCCATTGCGCATACATTAGCCATAGCTCAAGAATTGTTATTCACCATTCTGTCACCATACCCTTATGTTCCTCATAATATGTCATCTGCTGCTTCTGCTGCTCTAAGGCCCACTGATACACAAATTGTTCTGCACAATGCTGCCTTTTCCCTTGCAGATTTTCCGCAACAACGGATTGTTGTCGATGGGTCTTGGATCTCGGTTACGGACAGAACTGGGTTGGCTTGGGTTTGGCTGGATGCCGATAACCACATTGTCAAGCATGAAGCCATTTTGGGGCCTCCTATGCTCTCTACTCAACAAACAGAGGCTGCTTCGGTTCTCCATGCAATGCGTTGGGCATCCCAACAAGGTATCCAGTGCCTCCTCTTGCAAACCGATTGCCTGGTTTTGGTGCAACTTCTGCATACCTTTAAGCAACAATAGTGATTGGCAGCTTCACTCTCTTTTGAGTGATATTTTGTTATGCTCTAAAAAGTTTGTATATGTTGTCCTAGAAAAAGTAGACAGAGCCGAGGTACACTCTGCTCACTCTCTTGCAACTTCTGTAAGAAATGCTTCTGATAATTAATGCAATCTCTAAGCTGCTTTAGTCCTCAAAAAAAAATAAAATAATCACAACATAAATAATAAATAATAAAATATACAATAATAAAAGAGATAAAAGATAGAAATGAGAGAAAAGCATCGGATAATCCAATTTCAGATGAACCTTTTTATTAATTAATTAATAATTTTTAATGATATTATAAATATATTTCAATTAATAATTTTTACAATTTTATTATTGAGTAAGTAGAAATTGTATGATTTTAATAAATGAAATTTTTTAACAAGGGGCATTTTTAATTTTTAAAAACATATAAGATAATTTACATTTTAAATAAATTTCCGAAAGTGTAATTGTAATTTATCTAAAAAAAATTAACCAATACATCCCTAACAAGTTCATAGAGAAAGAAGAGATAATTTAAGCCTACATATCATACATTCAACAATAAATAATTTTGGCCAATAACAATTTGGTTACATCAGTGATGATGCACTCAAACGGTTTGAAAAGGATTAAAAAAAGTTCAAAAATAAAAAAGTATTAATTACTCAAAAATCGTATTTTTGGACATCAAACTGTTTAAGTTCCATTTTATACTTTATAATTTATTGAGTCCTCATTCGATATTGTCTGACTATTTCCTAAAAGAAAAATATATACAAACCTATTTTCTAAACCTATTAGGGCTAGACTCTAAGGAGTTAGGTAATACTACACATTAAAACTATTTAATTAGGTTTGGTTTGGGATCAGATTTTTTTAGTAACTTTTTTATGTTTGAAACGATTTTTTGACTTTTTATAAAAAGATATGTAAAAAGTAGAGAGAAAGAGAAATTTTTAACTTTTTAGTATAAATTGTTGACTTTTTAATTTTTTAAATAATTTTTTAACTTTTTTAACTAAAAAAATCACTTACCAAACGAATCCTTATTTAACAATAAGTCATGAATTTACGCACAAGAAGAGATTTGAATCCAAATACAGTGGTTGACGTGATTTTGGAAGGGCCCACAATCACACTGTAAGGTTGGTGAAATGGGGGTCCACATTGAAGTCACACACAGAAGAAAAATTATTAATCGATCTTGGATATTACGTGACCATATTTCAAATCAATCACAAATTTTTATATTCTTTTATATTTTTTAATTATTTAATATAAAATTGTGGGCTTCAATCCTTATACCATTCACAATGCTTGTGAAGTGCCACATAGCCTTGCCCTGGACTAACCAATAACTACTGCACACCGAGTGTTGAATTATATTGCCTAAGTCAAGTCGTCAGTGCGCTACATGGACCGCAAATTAATTTCAATCAGAGACCACTCTGTTCTGTGTTTCTTTCTCATCTCTCAAAAACTCATCTTCTGGTTTTACTGGTATATTCTTCCTCATTATTTAGACTCCCAAATATCAAAGATATGTCAGGTTTAGCAGCTGATGATGCAATTTCAAGTGTTGTGATTGAATCCGAGTACTCATGCCGTCGGTTTTCACTAGCTGAGATACAATCAACCACAATCAACTTTAATGAAAATTTAGTTATTGGCGTTGGCGGATTTGGTAAGGTATACAAGGGGTTCATCGACAACGGTGCTACAGCTGTCGCCATAAAGCGGTTGAATGCAGAGTCCAAGCAGGGTGCAGAAGAGTTCTGGACTGAGATCAACATGCTTTCTAAGCTCCATCATGCTCATCTCGTTGCTCTGATTGGCCAATGTAGTGATTGCCAGGAAATGATCCTTGTTTACGAATATATGGCCCGTGGGACCCTTGCCGATCATCTATATAAAAGAAGTAGAAGAAACCAAACCGAAATTAGTACTTTTCATCTCACATGGGAGCGAAGGCTCGACATTTGCATCGGTGCAGCATGAGGGTTAGACTACCTTCATACTGGTACCGATCAAAGTTTCATACACCGAGATGTGAAGAGCACAAACATTCTGTTGGATGAGAATTGGGTAGCCAAGATTTCAGATTTTGGGCTGTCCAAAGGCACTACAAGCAATTCAGCAACCCACGTTAGTACGAGAGTCAAAGGTACATTTGGATATTTAGATCCAGATTATTTCTATACCCACAGACTAACCAAGAAATCTGATGTGTATGCCTTTGGTGTGGTGTTGTTGGAAGTGCTTTGTGGGAGGCCGCCTGTGGATGAAAGACTCGAGGAGGAGCAAATTAGTTTAATCCTGTGGGCTCAAGATTGCATTAAAAAGGGAAAGCTTGATCTAATCATTGATCCCTCTTTGAGTGAACAAATAACACCACAGAGTTTGAAGTATTTTGTAGAAGTTGCCTACAATTGTTTACATAATCGTCCAAAGGAAAGGCCTACAATGGCTGAAGTGGTGGGAAGCCTTGATCTCGCATTGGTGTCACAACGTAAAGGAAGATCAGAGGGAATAATTGGAAAGGCGTTAAAGGGTTTTGTAATTATGCCTAAAGGTATGAATCGCTGGTGGAGGGAGAGAAAGGAAAACAGTTCTAAGAGTGGACTGTCAAAGGATTTGTTTTTGGAACCACTTTCAGATGGTGCTAACCAACCACACCGTCATTTCTCACTAGCTGATATTCAAGCAGCCGCAAATGATTTCAATAAGCTTCTTTGGATTGAAACCAATGGGCTTTACAAGGTGTACAAAGGATTTTTGGATGGGGAAACTAGCATTGTTATGATCAAAAGGTTCAATGCCTTGGCATCGCAAAATTGGGAAGAGGATTGGGCTGACATTGAGGTACACTCCCTGTTCGAGAATCACCCCCACATAGTCTCTTTGATTGGATTTTGCAATGTGAAACCAGAGTTAATTGGCGTGTATGATTACATGGAGAATGGATCCTTGGAAGATCATTTGTTCAACACAAACAACAATACACTTCTGTGGAAAGAACGACTCAAGATCTGCATTGGTGCAGCTCTAGGACTACAACATCTCCATGAGAATGCGAAGCAAAGAGTCATCCACGGTGACATAAAGCCAGCTAATATTCTGTTGGACGAGAATTGGGTTGCAAAACTTACTCATTTTAGGTTTTCCAAATTAATACCCAATAACACTACATTTGTAACACTAACGGATTCAAATGTTTGCGGTACTATGGGATATAGGGCACCAGAGCTCTGGATGCACGGAAAATTAACAACAAAATCTGACGTATATTCATTTGGTATGGTGTTGTTGTCAGTATTGTGTGCTAAGAAGCCATATTATGAGCTAGATGGGGATTGCAAGTCATTAGTAGATCAGTTCATGAATAGTATCAAAACCATTGGTCGAATCATTGATCCAAATCTGATTGGGAAAATAGCACCAGAATGCTTGAAGGAATTTGTCAATATTGCAATAAGTTGTCTACTTGATCAGGACAACTGGCGACCCTCGATAGACAATGTGGTAAGGAACCTCCAATCTGCATTACTACTGCAGGAGGCTTGGGAGAATCATTTTGAGATTGGTGCTGAGTTACCTGTGATTGACCTTTATTGTTGTAGCGTCTTCTCCATTGATGGTTACTTGACAATTGGTGGGTTGAGCCTTTTTCCATAAAATATTGATGATGATCTTGCTTCAAATCTTGACGGAGGATCGAATGGGTACCTGTCAGATCCAGATTTTAATGAATTAATTCGTTAATTAAGAAGCTTTTGGATTTGACTCTTTTATACTACATGTACGTCTTTCCATTTTATTTTGTTTGGAGTCTTTTTTATTTTTCAATTGTTATGTTTGTCATATGTTGGTGTATGTTAGAGAATGTTTCATAGTTGGTTGTTTGTATTGATGAGATTTTCTCTTGTGATCGTTGAATTTTTTATGTTCTCGTGAATGTGTTGGGATTTCCTTCATGGTTAATTGTCTAATTTGATAGGGTGATAATCCAAGAGGATAAAATATAATTTTCCCTATTCCTAATATATCTTCTACAAAAAAAAAAAAAATAAAAAAAAAATTCACACAAATATCTATTTGGGTTAGCTGTTTTTATTTTTTAGAACTATACTTGGTTTAGCTTGGTGCATGCATTTCTTGTGATTATTCGATAGTCTGCGAGTTCGGTCACGTGATACTCCATGGTAGTATCATTGGAGGAGAAAGTGGACTATTAATTATTTGTATTGAGTGATTAAGGAACATAAGGGGGCGTAATGAATGGTGATTGGTGAGGGAATATGATTACATAATGTTCTGAGACTATTATATAATTTTCCATTATTACTTGCACTGTGCATATCCCCAGACCAGGGCTGACTTGAGGTAAGGCCAGAAAGGCATTTGCCGCCGAATTCTATCTAAAAAATAAGGCTCCTGAATGATTTAGTTCTTATGTTAGGTACAATTAATTGAAATGATCTGGAATGAAATAATCATCCCATTATAATGTTCATTTTCATGTTCAGTTCACTAAAAAATTGATCAAAAGATATATTATAAACAAAATCATTTTCACCATTGTGAGAGGCTAAGGAATGACAATTCCATTTTATTCAATTTCATTTCAGTGAGCCAAATATTGCTTTATTGTATTAGTAATTTAAAAATGAAATTTCACTATTTTTTTTAAATAATTGAAGTGGTGAATTATTTAATAATAATGGATGGTTATTTGCTAAATGTGTGGAAAGATTGTGACTATACCAGTTACAATTGCCTCTTGATAAATAATTTCTTTAAAGTTGAAGCTGATCAAATTTTACATTCAATCAACTATGTCGTAAAAAAAAAAGTTGGAATAAATTAAGGAGAATTTACCATAAGTCTCATTCCAAAAAAGTATGCACCGGAAAGTCTCTTCAATTTTCTTATAGACTATTAAGTCCCATTTAATTTGAAAGGTATACCGTGAGGTCGTTTCACTATATTTCATAGAAACAACAAATGTAGGGGTAGTTCATTTGTGTACTATTGTCTTCTTAAACTTTTGTCAAATGTATCATTTTTTTTTTTGTTTTTTGTTTTGAAAACATGAAAAACACTTATATTAGAAAACAACATACAGATTAACAAAAGAAAAACAACAAGATCCTAAAGGGTTGAACAAACAACCATACAACAAAACTGTAACGCCCCAAAATAATTACAACAATTCCTCTATAAATGGCTAATACCAGATGGCATAAATGAAGTAATCGACTTTCATTAGTCAATTTACAAAAAGACAGATGCGATATACATTCATAAGCCCCACCTTGAATCTATAGCATGTGATATCAAGTTAATGATCAACAAAATAAATGCCATATAAGCTTACATCTGTCCAAGACGGTGCTTGGTTAGAACAAAAAAAAGAGTCTTAAGCTCTATACATATAAAGCCTTAGGCTTGTGCAAAATATTGAATACAAAACAACAAAACAGAGCCTTCAGCTCCCAAGTCCTCCCAAGCTAAGTCTTTGGAGGAGGCATGTCACCAGCACCTGAAAATGGTTTTCCAAGTAGGGTGAGTCAAAGCCTAGTAGAAATAATTTAACATAATATATGAATGTTAACAAAGGTATAAGTATAAATGTGCATATACAATGCTCGTAGTAAAATCATTCTTATTTGACACGATCATAGCGAGCCAAGTTTTATGTTTCAATCCATTTGTCTCAATTCCATTAATCGTATTCATTCCATTTCAATTCATTTTACCTCAGTTCCTGAGTCATATTCATCATAATCCAGACAACCCAGCTGAGACTACAATTCAGTGGTTCTGTAACATATACAACCATCACACAAACACTTTACTTTGCCATTTTATGGAAATTTTGTCTACGGGAATCGGGGCCCATGTATACGCGCGGTTTTCGGGACTTTCACCCTAGACACACAGGCCAACTTAATTTAATGGAGTCCATCCCCTTTCTCCTCCCAAACATCATACATATACAATGTATTAAAAATACAGTCATATTCAATGACAACCAACAAGAGATTAGTTTCAATTCCCCTAATCCTCATGCAATTTCTCCAACAATCATAGCTATCCTCCACCGATAGCCCAAAACAAATATACAATCTTCACAACAGATACATTATTCAAATTTCCATAGGTGAGAGATTAGACTTATCCAACTACACCACTTGTATAAACATCTATCCAATTTCACTTTCTTACACAAATTCCATTATTTATACAAAATAATTATTCAAGGTATTTTAGGGAAAAATTTCCCTTTTTCCCAATCTTGTCCCAAACTCCAATATCACCCATTTTAATACAACACAAGCTCATATACATTTCCATAACCCTTTCCAAGACATCCATTTTAGAACCCCCTCTTTTGAATTTTAAACCCTAAGCCATAGGTTTGTTCAAAATCACCTCAAGTCCTAATATTTCTTACACATCAACAAATAACTAAGTTAAAACTCATAAAAGAGTGTAGAAACTTCATACCTCAAAGTTAGCAGACGAGCAAAGTAAGGTGGAAACTTTAATGACGCTGAAACCAAGTTCCAATCGGATCAAAACGAAGTTCTAGGAATGCTCTAACTTTTTCTCAAAGGCACTAAGGTAGAGAACCCAATGGATCTAGGTGAAAATGTAGAGAGAATGTGGGTTTTAGAGAGAGAGACTCAAGATCTAGGTTTTTGAAAAGTTTTAGAGAGAAAGAGGAATGAAAAATTTAAGTAAAAAGTCATCTTCACAAACTGATATACACGTAGTTCGCTTGAGCGCAAGAAGTGATGCTTGAACGTCAGACACAATGTTTTGCTCGAGCGCAAGAAGAGACGCTCGACCGAAGAATACACACGTTTAGAAGTTTTGTAGACAGAAGTCCATCGGTTGCGTGCTAGAATGTTCGCTCGAGAGCTAGACCACCCGAGGGTATGAAACGCTGCTCGAGCGTAGAATGCTCTCGTCCAGTATTTTTGTAGAGACCTGCAAAATACTAAAATTGTACAAATCATGCTCGAGCGCAAGAAGTGCTACTCAAGCGAAGGAGCAAAATGCTTGGCAACAAAAGTTTGAAAACTGAACAACCAACTTGTTTCAAACACAACCACTACAATCCAACAACCAAATTTAAAAAAGAATAAGGGGACAAAGACATGAACAACCATACGAAGCTATGAAACTTGAGTCCAGAACACACAATGGGTTGGGCCTAAACCAGAAACGTTATAAAAACATGAACAAAAAATAATAAATCTGTCAAAAACACCAATTATCATCCAAGGAAAACCACTGATCTTGTCATAATAAGTTAAAGAGATAAGAATGAAGCCTAAAGAGGAAAATGTGAATTTAGAACGGATCGAATTGTTTGTGACCCTTTTGTGTTCATGGAATGTGTAGGGTCGAGCTCCAGGGCAAACCAACTAACCGATCACTGCGAGTAATACCTTAACAGAGATATCTGAAATATGTTGTTGTCCAATTGCTTACTTTTATGTAAGTTTTATAAGTTCACTGATTCGATTGGTGGACAATTTTTGCTATACCAAATGAATGGGCCAGAGGCTGTTTTGGCATGAATGGATGGGCCAGAGGCCGTTTTGACATGAATGGATAGGCCAGAGGCCGTTTTGACATGAACGAATGAATGGGCCAAAGGCTAGTTTGTCATCTAAATGGGCCAAAGGCCGTTTTGACACAAATGAAAGTTAAATGGGCCAAAGGCCAGTCTGTTTGAAACCGCAGTCACTTGACCTAAATTGTGTATATATGTTAAATAGAAATATGAATTGGGCCTAAGGCCGTTTGAAGCATGTTATTCTACATATCGTTTGTATAGCTTCTTTAATTGATATTATTCACTGGGCTTTCGCTCATGCTCATTCACATGTTTGTAGGTGAGCTAAGAGAAGTCCAAACCCAGCCCCAATGAAGTCTATGTGGAACGACAAAGGTTTTGGGAGAGTCAGCCCTTGTGTCTCACGCACGAGACCTGTCTTTGCGCTTTTGTTAGGTATTTATATTCTGTCATGTTGGCGAAGACTTTTCATCTGTTGTATATAGTTGTGATGGGTTGACTTAGACTTATATGATTCTGTATGTACAGAACCTTGTGTGGTACATATTTTGTTGTGAGTTATTAATGTGCATATGTCTGGTTGTTACGATGTGCCATGTAAGCACAGCTCTATGGACAAAATTTTAAATTTTGCTTCCATTTGGCCCCTTTACTCTGATGAGTTACGTCTGACTTGATTTGAGGCCGTAGGTAATCTCAGGATTACTGGCCGGTTATGTCCTTAACCCATAGGGGCAGGTTCGAGTCATGACAGTTATTATTTCGGAGCGTTACACTTATGGTTCTATTTGGGTATTCAATGCCATCATCTTACTTATATTTTTAAACTCGATAGAATGTTAGAGGATTAATAAATTAATAGAATCATGCATTCAAACACCTAAAAGTTAGCAAGGTAGGAATATGTGCCTAGCTATGTCAACAACACAAGTGTTCATCGTATATGGGAAAGGCTACTACATGCACCCAAAAAAAAAAAGAAGAAAAAAGATGCATATGGTATGCATTTACAAAAAAATGTAATTGCTATTACAAAATATAGAACTTTTTACCCTGTATAACTTTTACTACAAAAAGCATAACG